CCAGAGAAGTGCTATGTAAACTGTCATTGGAAGAGGCAGTGAAAATGCTGAGTAAGTGTGGGGAGGTAGGAGAGGTGGGTAGAGAGGTCCAGACAAAAGAAACAGCCATACAAAGTTAGTTAAGGAAGCCCCAGGAGCAGGTGCAGTGGTCAGGGAAGGTATTGGATATTTCCAAAGGCAATGGGAGTAACTGAAGAACCAAAAGGGGGTGCAGGGGCTGGGGGGCACCACAGTTTGGGGAGCCTGCTGGGCTCTCTACAATGGAGTGCGCAGACAGCATGGGAACAATGAGTGGGCAGGGCCTCTGGGGAGTCTTCAGTCCCACCCACTGCTGTGTAACCAACCCTTGGGCGAATGACTGAGCTGCCCAGAGCTACCTGGTCACAGTTCCCACCTGGGGGTTAGTATGAGAGCAGCCTTTCCCGCCCTCCAGCCAGGCAGCCACTGCCTCCCTTCCCCCAGCTCTGCAAGTGGAACAATGACCAGATTGAAACAGTCTGGGTCCTGGGAGCCTGGCCAGCTCCCTGCTGCCTCTTTGGGCTAATGTCTGTAATCACAGCAATCTCTTGATCCCCAATCCCTGCGTTCTGACAGGTGGCCAGATGGCTTGGAAGGGAATTCCAGGCCTCTGAGCTCCCGGAGCTGTTCCCTGGGACCCTTAAGAACCTAGGGGCTCCCAAGTACCAAGCCTGGAATGGGACCAGCAAGTTGGCTATTGTGCCCCACTATAACTCACAAAGCCAGAAGGAACATTTAAGGTCATCCCCATTGAAACTCCCATTCTGTCTAGAAGACTTGGTCTAGCATCAAGGCCAGGTAGGGAGGGTTCTGCTTGGATTCTTCCCAAGATGGAGAGGTCACCACAAGTCTGAGGGCTGCAGCCATGGACAGGTCATGAACTCTGAGAGTTTAAATGAAAAGGTATTGCATGGACTGGATCACATTACAATCATGGCCATCCCAAACCAGAAGACCCTTTGTATCCCCAGGAGTTAGACAAGGTCTGTTCCACTGAGAGGCACTATGGGAAAGGGGAGACCCCCATTCCAGTGTTGACTGGGCAGCCTAGCCAGTCATCTCCACTGTCTTCCCTAGCAGACCTGAGCTGTCCAATCTAATGGGTACAGCTCAGAAGTGGTCATCAACACTCGAAATGCAGCCAGTGCAACAGAGGAACTCAACGTTTAACTTCACGTCATTAATTTTACTTCAAAGTTCAAATCTGAGTAGTATAAAAATATTCTTATATTCATTGTACATTGAAATTTTTGGATATACTGGGTTAAATATTATAAAAATTAATGTCACAAAAAACAATTTCATTTTCTTCATTTTACTTTTTTTTTTGAGTCAGGGTCTCATTATGTAATTATGTACTAGCCCAGGCTGGCCTTGAACACAAGATCCTCCTGCCTTAGCCTCCCAAGTGCTAGGATGATAGGCGTGCACCACCACACAAGACCTCTTTTTACTTTTTTAATGTGACTAGAAAATTTGAAATAACAAATGTGGCGGGCATTGTGATTCCCTAAGTCAGCACTGGCTTAGGAGGTTGTTTAAGAATCAAATGAGGTGGATAGTCGGGTGTTTGGGAAATTGTAAAGCTGCTGGCAAACTGGGGACTCTATGGCTGCTGGACAGAGCACCTGGGATGTGTCTTCTACCACAGAAGGCATGCTCATTCCAGAAATTCTAGAGAACAAGGAGAAACAGGAAAAATGAAAGAAAGGAGAATGGCCTATTTCCCACCATGTGAAGAAAACTACTGTTAACTTTTCTTTCTGGGGTTTGTACGTGTTCTTTTTGTGTGTGCATACACATGTGTGTGCGTGAGTGTCCGTGTGGCCTAAGGCTCCCCCAACCACCACTGTGCCCTAGATCACAGGTTCTCAGAAAAGTCACTTAACAGCTTGTCCACCATGAAGAACCCCCAAAAGACCAAACCACAGAACCTTTGACCTCCTTCCTAATCACCACGCATTCTAGGAGTGGCACTGGTCTTACATGGATCTGTGCCCTCACAGTACTTCCTGCCTATTCTTGGCCACTGCCATCACCTGCAGTCACTGGAGGACTGCTGGCACCAGCCCTGGGAGCCAGCCTGCTCTGTCAGCTGTTGCCAGCGGCTCCTCCCCACTTGCCTCCCTCTCTGCTCACCTTTCCCATTTGGGGGAGGGAGGAGGTTCCAGAGCAGAACAGCATGGGTCTCAAGTGGCAGAACTGCTTCCATCTCACCCATGAGCGCTCTCCTTTCCCAAGCAATGGTGACCATGGGGCTGGGCCAGGGTCCTTTCGTTCTGTCTAGAGCCTGCACTCCCTCCCTCCTATGTTTGGATGTCCCTGAATTGGCGCTGCCCCTGTGTCATGCCTCTTCTTCTTCTTCAAGGGTGCCTTCCTCCTTTCTGAAATCTGGTTCTCATCTGTGCCCTTCTCTTGCACAGTCCCTCAAACCTGTCTCTGTATATCTGGACTACAAGTCAGAGAGGGGTCTCTACCCCCATTAGGCTACTGGGCTTCCTGCAGGGCTACAACCAAGCTGGTAAATTGCTTTTCAGTTTCACATTAAATTAGGAATGTCTTTCTAGTGATGCTGTCTGTCCCTTGTAATGGCTACTCAGAACTTCTGTGCACGGATGGGCTGAACCTTGTTATCTAAGCTCCCAGGTTTTACTCTTACAATGACACATCAGTGACTTCTGGGACACTTTGTTTACTTTGCTATAAATCTCAGGAATATTTAGTCTTCTCTTTTCAGACATCCAGCAAATTCTGCTAGATGCATTGTGCTGAAGCACTGTCAGACACTCACTCTCCCCTCTGCATGCCTACTTGGTGGCTCTCAGTGCCCCTTGGCCTGACATTCAAGGTCACCCTATTACTGTGCTCAGCCTTTTCTGTCCCATCACCACACTTCACACAGGACCTGAGCTCTAGTTACATTGATGAGCAGTGTCCCCAAACTTTCCAGCCTACTCCCATTGCCTGACATCTGCCCCATCTCCAAATCTTCTTCACCTTCCAATAATGAACTTCAGTGCCACTCCTCCAAAAAGGCCCCTCCTGACTGTCCTAGCTAGAGTTAACCCTCACACCATAATAGATAACCCTTCCTTGTCTCTGTCCTTACCATACTGATGTGTCCATCTTGTCCAGTGGCTATTTGCATCCCATTGTGTCCAGGATCTTTGTCTGTCTCCCCCCACCCCACACTCACTACCAGAGTAGGAGCTCCCCGAGGTAAGGAACAAGTTCTGATTTCGCTGTGGACACAGGACAAGGCTCAGAGTGGGCATGAAGGAAAGAGAACAAGCCTGGTGTTGGGGCCTTAGCTCTGGTGCAGCTGGGTTCAGGTGTCCAGGGTGATCTCAGGCAGGTTCTTCTCTTAGAGTATGGCTTCCCTGTGGCCCCAGGCAGTAGGACTTGACTGTGGAGTTTTGTGATGGAGGGAGGACTACATGGCTTTGGGCTGTGTGCTGGCCCTGGCCTAGGGTGATCTCTCTTGGATAATGATCACAGACGCCCATTTCCTCTGGCTGCACAATCCCATTATGAGCCCTTGGGGATTTATGTCAAGACCCACCCTAAGCCCATCACTAGCATATGGCATTCTGGCAGAGGAGGATGACAGAGGTTGTGAACACTGACTCATTCATTCATTCACCCCTTCATTCAGCCACCTGCTACTGAGCTGTGCTCTGGGCCGGGCCTGGGCTGGCTCTGTGCATCCACCATTGTCAGACCCTAGCCGAGTCTGAGCAACACTTCAAGAAACAGTTCCCTCACCTTCAGTGAAATGGAATTGGAGGTAGAAGGAGGCACAAGGACTGGGGGAGGGAGTCCAGTGGTCAAGAAAGGCTTCCTGGTGGAGGGACCCCGACTCTGTTCCTTAATGGGAGGGTGAGCATGTACAGCAAGGAACAGGCAGAGAGGAATTCAGGCCTGCTCTCCTGGGCCTGGCTGGCACTGGCTGCTGCCGTGTGCAGAAGGATGATAAGAACAGAGTATGGATGGGGAGGATTATCTGCTCTTGTTTACATGATTAAAACCAGACAAATACTTCCTTTATCTGAAAGAATGAAAGGGCTTTGGGAAAAAATCCTTTTGGCAGCCAAACAAAGCCTAGGCATTTCCTTAATTAATCTCTTGTGTCCCCATCACCACCAACAACAGTCACAGCACAGAAGCACTGGGACTGGCCCACACTGGGGGCAGAAAGCCCAGATCAGGGTGGCCAGAGTGGAGGAGGAGCTGAGAAAAGTGAGAGGTATACATACTCTCAATATGGCCTCCTGCGATGGGGGAGTATGGATCCAGGCACTAATCCAAGATGACCTTTCCATCTCCAAAATGGGGACCCTGAGGCCCCTAGATGGAAGAGTGATTTGTTTGCTGGAGGTCATATGGCCAGTTGGTAGAGGCCAGCTGGGAGGCCACGGACTCCCAGCCCACTGCTCCAACATACTCACTCGTTGGTTCATTCTGCAAGTCTATGTAACTGCCAGCTCCATGTCAGCTGGTGCTGGGCATTGGGGGCCACAGAGAAGTCAGGCCTATCCCTCCTCTCAAGTGCTGTCAGTGCAGTGATAGGGTTAGACAGGTAAGCATAACAACCAGAGCCAAGACAGAAGAGGCTAGGGTCTGGGGGTCCCCAGACTGGGCTCCTAACACTGGGGGAAAGGTGGGTAGTACAAAAAAGTGACAGTGACCCTACCTACTGGGCCAGAGTTAGGCAAGTAAAGGAAGTGTCTGAGAGGAGGAGAACCACATGGAAGAGACAGCCCAGGCAAAGGCCTGAGGAGTGGTGCGCTCAGCGGGTGACCGTGGGCATCGGGAAGATCTGAGCGTCAAGAGAGGCAGATTACTGCACTGGACTACTGAGAGTGGGATTCCTTGGCGCACACAGTGGTGCTGGGAGGGGATAGAGGGGGCACAACTGAGTGCCTGGCCAGGGTCTTGTGGTTCCCCCGCCACACACACCCTGACCCACCTCACCCTCTCAGCTTGATGTCAGGCCTTGCCTCTCTGGATGCCAAGACTTCCAGCCGCCTGGGCATCCTCACCGTGGCATACTACCTGTGGACCACCTTCCTGGCTGTCATCGTGGGCATCATTATGGTCTCCATCATCCACCCAGGTGGTGCAGCCCAAAAGGAGACAACAGAGCAGAGTGGGAAACCCGTCATGAGCTCAGCCGACGCCCTGCTGGACCTCATCCGGTAACTCACCACCCTTGTCCTCTGGGTGTCTGGTGGGGGTGCCTGGCAAAGCCTCCAGAGAGCAGGACAGAGCATGAGGCTGCGGTGACCAGGGGCAGTTCTGAAGGTGGTATAGAGGCCGTGACCACCTGATGCCTGAAGTCAGTGATGAATTTGTCTCTATCCCACAGCCTTAGGGATTCCTGCTAGGCTCCCCCTGTGCCATCTGCCCAATATGCCAGCAGCAGGCAAGGGCAGGACAGCCTGGTCCTCTCTGCCTGTGGAGGAGTGGAGCAGAGTCAGTGTTTACTGGCTGACTGACCCACAGGTGGCTGTGGGCTGCCAGCCTGCACCATGCAAGACCAGCAGTTATGGGCCCCTCCCAAAGAGATGGTGTGACTTTCCCCGTTATCTTGGCCAGGAGTCTACTGAGACTATCTGGCTCCCAGGAGAGTGCATTTGCCACCATTGTGGGGCCATTCCTTAGCCACATCAGCTCTGCTGATCATGCCCCACAGACCTCAGCCCTCCTCCCCAGGAAAGTGCTGCAAACTCAGCGATAGTCACCAGGGATCCCTTCCCCAAGGCTCCCTGCAGGCCCTACTCTCCCTCACCAGACAGGCTCTGGATCAGGCCTGAACCAAGAGACTGAGCCCAACCCTGCCCTAGAGGAGCAGTCATTGTCCAGTACAGAGAAAGGCCCAAGAACAGGCAGACACAACAACAGGGATAGGTCCTGGGATGGGTGGGAGCAGACAAGTGTAAAGGATGGGTGAGAGGAGTGGACAGGGGGCCTTCCTGGGAAGGTAGCCAATGTGCACAGGTCTCGAGCTGAGAGGGAATGGTGTGGCTAGCAGTCACAACCATCCAGCATGACTGAAGACGGGATAGCGACGCTGGAGAATTCCGTGGGGACCAGACAATAAACGGAATTGTGATCCGGGTTCAGAGTTGTGTGTTCTCCTAAAGGCCACAGGATATAGGTTCTATTGGTTTATTTTTGTGGTACTGGGGATGGACCCAGGGCCTTGTGAACACCAGGCAAGTGCTGGTGAGTTCATCCCTCACCCAGGAAACGGGTTCCAAACCGAGCAGTAGCATGGTCCAATTCAGAAGGCTCTCTCTACCTGCCACTGGAAGAGGGCTGATGGGGTGGGAGGAGAAGGCAGAACCAGTGACTGGCTAGGGTGGAGGCCTTGGATGGGGAGGAGGCAGATTGCAGGGCTGCTGGGGAAATAATACCAGCAGGAAGTGAGAGTGGAGTTGGTGGATGGTGCTGGCTGCTGCAGTGACATGGAAGTTTCTAGCCTGAGCATCCAAGTGGACAGCATGTAGTCACCAAGCCATAGGACAGAGCAGGTGTACACCTGCAAGGGGGAGATGCTGGCTGATGCACAGGAGAGTCTGAGAGGGAGACTGAGGCTGGGAAAATGCCAAGGTAGAGGGTGCTGGGTGGGTAGCCCCGGGGTAAAGGGGCCCTCCCAGGGCATGTGAGTGCAGACAGAGGGGCGGGACCATGCTTGCACTGCATCACACTGGGAATAGTCGGTGGGATCGATCTTGTTGTTTGTACTCCTTCTAGACCCCTTTGTTTTCAGTCAAATTCAGATACAAGACATTTAGCCTGTTTCATATTAAAACCCCAGATACATCCAATTTGAAAGAAATCCTTTCCTAGCTGTGTGAATCTGGTCTGGGCCTGGGAAGCTACGGTGGGAAGAGGGTTGTGGGAGTTTGCTTTCCTCTTCCTTGTTCTACCTGTTCTCCTGCTCTCAGCCCTGGGGCCTGCACAGTAGGGAGGGAGAGGAGAAAGTAGGCTAGGAAGGGTGAACCAGGGATGGGTGAGCAGCCATTGGACCCCTGGTGGTGTTCCTCCAGGGCTACTTTCCACAGTTCTTTGGAGCTCTCCTCACACTGGTATCTCTCACCTACTAGAGCAATCCCTGTTGTATCTGGTTGCTCACAACACCCTCCTCAGGCTTGACCTCTGGTCATCCCCTCTGCTGGCGTCACCTGTCCCCTCTTGGTGACCATATTGGGCAGGGTCCCTTCTGCAAGGGCCACAGTTAGCATCCATATTCTTGTAGGCCTTTTCTGGGGCCTTTGGACAGGGGTTAGGCACAACCTTGACATTGCTCAAATCTTAGAGGACACAAGCCAAGGTCTCTGAGTAGTTCTCCTGGCTTCTCCTCCCCCTGGGGATAGACACCCAGCACACAGCATCGCTTCTTCTCATCCTGTGGGTCATCAGTTACTACTGGTAACAAGTGCCCTTATGGACTGGAAATGAATGCCAGGAGTCTGCGTCAACCATAAGGGAATGAAGTCACTTGTGGCCTGCAGGAGGTTGGTGGCTTTGGTGGCCCTATTGGGGAACAGGTGCTCTGGGGTAGCTTGGCTAATATGGTTCAGCCAAACTGCTGTGGTCTTTCTGCTCCAGCAGTTCAGCCCAGGTCTGTTCACTATGGCGACAAGACTCCAGGAAGGAACTTACCTGGACATCTTCTTATGCAGAGGAGCGGGAGAGGGAAGTGAAATATGAGAGGGCTTTTGCAAGCCTCTGCTTTCACCAACCTCTTCTTGGCCAGAGCAAGTCATGCAGCCACGCCCAGTCTCAAGGTGGGAGGCACCCACAGTGGTATAAGGTAAAGGGGGTCCATCATTGGTGCCATTAACGCAACCAATCTACTCTCTCTCCAGCTTCTCTTTTCTTCTTGAAAGTGTGGTGAGATAAGGATCACAAGCATGCCTGCCATTTTGTTCCTCTTGGAAGGCTCTCACCTGGAAGATCAGAGTCAGAAGAGTCCAGGCAGGGTCTGTTCTATCTATGCCTATTTACTTCCCGAAAGACAGCACCCCCACACCATGGTTTTGAATGCTTCTGAACGCTCATCTTCCAAATGTGCTTTCCAGCCTGGAAACGTCTCACCTGAACTCCAGATTCTCACATACCATTGTCTAAATACATCTCAAAGTTAACAGGTCCAAGCAAAACTCTTAATTTCCCTTGTGAATCTGCCAGCCCTGGGCCTCAGCTCCGCCCATCTTTCTCTGACATCTCTGTCTCATATCCTGCATCCTGCTTCTAGCACATTCTGTCAGCTCTACCTTCAAAATCCTGTGTGTCCCCGACTTGGTTCCATCATTGTCTCTCTGGATGATCTTTCCCAGGGACAGCACATGGCTCTTCCCTGTCTCTCAGAGTCACCTTCAGAAGGGCTTCCGAGGTCTCTGTCACTCTATTATCTTCTCTTTGCTCACTTTTCTGCACAGTACCCCGACACTATCATTTCCTCGAAGTTCTTTATTTTTTTTTCTGCCCCCTCTGCTGGAATATAGTCTTATGCCCTGTGGGAGCCAGATCTGTCTCTACTGAATCTCTGAGCCTGGAACAGCACATGGCAAAAACAGGTGTTCAGTCAATCTGTCAAATGCAAGCATGGGATGCTGGGCCATCTTGTATGGGGTCTGAAGCCCCAGGAGGAGCTGGAATTGTCTGGGGAAAAAAATGTGTAGCTCAGAGGCCCAGGGTGAACCTTGCAGGTGTGTGGAGCTCCCAGGGTGGGAGTAGGTCAGGGGGAGAAACAGGAAAGCTCATGTCTTGAGAGCCAAGGCAAGAGGAATTTTGAGAAGTCTTATTTCTTTTGGGGTTTGCTTACTAGGCAGGCACTCTACCACTTGAGCCATTCACCCCCACCCTTTTTTGCTTTAGTTATTTTTTTCAGATAGAGACTTGTGGGCTTTTTTCCCCTAGAGCCAGGCTTGAACCCAATCCTCTTACTTACAACCTCTCATGTAGTTGAGATGACAGGTGCATGCCACCATGACAGCCTTATTGATTAAGATGGAGTTTTGCTAACTTTTTGCCCGGTCTGGCCTTGAACCGCAACCCTCCCAATCTCTCCCTTGAGAGTACCTGGGATTATAAGCATTAGCCACCCAGCACCATCCAAGAGAAACCTCATTTCTAAGATCTGTTATTTCTAGGATTTGTTGCCTATGAGTCATCATTTCTCGGATTCTATGATTCAAAACAGCCTTTCCACGTGGTAGGAGGAGCCCTGCCTTGCTCGTGCTGCCTCCCCTAGTCAGGGCTGCAGGGCTCCAGATCCCACACATGTTAGAGTCAAATGTTCCAGTGCTGCCTGCTCCCAGTGGCTTCTCACATGGTGAAAATCAATCCTTTTGCTTTGAGGCTTTTGCAAAGCTGGGTGGTTGGGCATCCTGTCACCATTTCTTGGTCAGAGAGTAGCACTACAGGAAGGGGTCACATGCTTCTTGGGGCAGGGAACCAGAACCTAGAAGAGACCAGCAATCTCATCTCAGCTCTGTCAGTAAAAAGTTACTATGAAGTTCCCTGTTCAGGGCTCGGTTTCCCCATGATTTTCCAGATCCCTTTATTCTGTGGTTCTATACACAAAGGCCACAGCCAGGAAGGAGGCTGTGGGGCGTGAAGCTCCTGGAGGCGTCTGGGTGGCGGGACAAAGCTGAACCCTGAGGACGAGGGCTGTGAATGCAGGTTGGGGAGGTTGGCTGTTAGGTGTTAGAGCTGGGAAACTGGGCCTGGGGTAAGGCCCAGGGATGGATTGGAGCAGGTGGAGTGGACAGGATGTGGAGAGAGGCACGGAATACCCTGGAATATGGGACGCTCACTTACACTCTCTTTATCCCATCTTTGTTAAACCCTTGCTCTGGGTAGTACTGGGAGCTGGGCATCAGGTCTGTCTCCCATCTTAGGACAAACAGAGGGTGCACGCTCTGATGCTCTGAGGAACTGTGCAGAAAATGGGGACAGAGGCTGTGAGGGGACCCATGGCCTCATCCTTGCTCTGCTGGCCCAGAGAAGGTATCTACCAAGTGTTATTGATTGAATGAGAACACATATGACTGGGAAAGGGAACTAGGACCTGGGAACAGATGTGACAAAAGAAATGCCAGAAAGATGTGGAACCAACTGCACAGGCTGGTAAGGTCCCATGGCTTACCTCTAGGAATGCAGAGGTTTGTGTCCGTGTCTCAAAGAAAATTCCAGAAGAGCACAGCAGGCTGTGTCCCCAGTTGACCTGCCACGACATGAATTCATTTCCCAGGACTCCAAGTGGGGGCTCCAAAAGTTGATGTTTGCTCCCAGTGCGGCCTGCAGAAAAGCCAAACTGAACACTAATCAGAGCTGGCCCCTTCTCTTTTTTCCAATCTTATTAAAACACCACAGAGATTAAGTAATGACTTGGCTCTATTTATAGCTCCTAGTTGCCATCCCAGGGATGGGATGAAGCTCTCAGGAGCTGTTTGGAAAGGAAGAACCCCCACCTTTGGGGCCAGGGATGGGGACATATGATGGGGAGTGAGTTTGGAGCTGTAGCAGCGAGAACTTACAAAGAGCAAATGAGGAGGCGCCCCTGAGAGAACCAGGCTGAGCGTGTGGGTAGTACAGGGATGGCTGGAAATGTCTCTGGGCACACTCTGTCTATATTTTATGCAGCTGCTACCAGGAGCACAGCCTCCTGGGACAAGCGGAAAGGCTTTCCAGGAGAGTTCAGAGCCAAAAGAAAATGTACATTTTCCCAATTGACAATTCTTAATTAAGTCTGCAGGCAAGTTCTCTGATTATTAGGAGTAGGTCAGTTAGGAATTGCTGCGGGCTGCTAGTTAAGAGAAACCTAAAACAGCAGAGGTTTGAGTGAGGTAAAGGGTTGCTTTTGCTCCTGAATAAGTGGTCCAGAGGGGTCAGCTCCTGCTTAGCAGAGTCAAGTGCTCGCTCATGTAAAGCACTTGGTAGTCATCATCACTGTGTCTCATGGTCCAAGAAGGCTGTTGAAGCTGTAGCTTTTTCATCCATATTCCAGGAAGAAAGAAAATTGAAGGACCAAAAGGTGCTGACAAAACAGGCACCTCTTCAAGAGTGGAGTTTAATGGGTTCCACTTACTCTTAGTGAGTACCCCATTGAAAGCAAGAACGCCTGGGAGCTAGGATTTTGTGGCAGAGCCAGTTGGTCCCTGTAATAAAACAGGGCTTCTGTTAGCAAGGAAGGAGGAGACAATGCATGCTAGGTAGGCAACTTGCTGTTCCGCCCCTACCACCCTGGTACATTTTAAATTTACCTACTGTTAAAGGAAGTTATAAAGGGACATAGAGGCTAAATCCCATTTGTTTTCTTAAGATCTTTAGTTTCTGCTCAGGCTAAAGCAGGCTTCCCTTTAAGTATCATTAGAAAACAACTGCGAAAGTCACTTGACCCTCCTGGGGCTGTACCCGGGGGACATTTTTCACTCTACTTAACAATCGGTACAGCCCAGGCAACCTCCAGCTGGTCACAGGCGGGCAGGACAGGTGAACCACTGCATCCTGGTAGGTGTGCCATCTGTCCCAGGCACTAACTCCGCTCTGTGCCTCAGGTCCATTTTATGACAGAGGTTCTTGTAGACAGCTGCAATTCTGGTGGCAAAAATCTGCCTATAATTCATGGGGGACAAAACTTATTTAAGCTTCTGAGATCCCAGTTCCTGGGCATCTTTCAGTCATTTTCCCCTTGAGTGTTACCGCTTTGTGATCCATTCATTTAAGCAGCAAATATTTGTAAGTGCCTACCCCTGTTTCCAGTGCTGGGGACACAGCAGGGAGCTGATATCCTGGTGACAGAAGCAAGGACAAGATTTGTAACAGCTCTTCATAGATTTAGGATGCTGACATTTGGTCCTTAGTCTTCCTAGTTTCTCATTTGCTTTATAATACCATTTGTAGTGCAATCTAATTGTAATCTGTTTTAGCATCTTGCTTTTTTTTTTAGCTTCTCATTTTGGCATAATTTTAGGATTATAGAAGTTTTCGAAGACAAGAGAGATGCCACACACTCTACCCCAGGTCCCTAGGATGTTAGTATCTTATGTAACGGTGGTACTTTTGTCAAATCTGAGAAACTGAATTGGTACAACACTGTTAACTAAATCACAGACTTCATTTGGATTTCACCAGCTTCTCCACTAATGCCGTTTCTTTTTTCCTGTTCCAGATCAATCCAGGGTGCCATGTTGCCCCTAGGAATTTCTTCATTTTAATGTAGTTAAACCAATTGTGCTTTTTTGCTCATTTTGTTCTTAGACAGTCCTTCCATACTCTGAGAGATGATAAAATAGTTACCTCTGTTTCCTTTAGCTTTTTATGGTTTCATTTTTTAAAAATTACTATTTCTTGAAAGCATCTGGAATTTATTTTTGTGTAAGGTGTTAAATAAGGATCATGATTATTTTTTCAAATGGTGACCTATATGGTTCTCATAATGAATCATTTGGTTCCTGATTTTTCTTTTTTGTGGTACCAGGGTTTGAACTCAGGGCCTTGTGCTTGCTAGGCAGCAGTTCTACCACTTGAGCCACTCTGCCAGCCCTCAAAGCAACTTTTATCAAATATGAACTACTTAGCTGTGCCGGCTTCTGAGGCAGTGGTTATTCTTTTGATGGCTGTGTATGAATCACAATGTGCTGAGGGTTATGTCTTTTTGGCATGTTTTTGTTTCTGGTAGGACAAGACCCCTCCAACCTTTTGCTTTACAATGAAATATTAATAAAAATACAGTCAGCCCTCCGTATCCATGGGTTTCTTATCCATGGATCAAAAATATTTGGGGGGAAAATTGCACCTGTACTGTAAATGTACAGACTTTTTTCTTGCCATTATTCCCTACACAGCAAAACAACTATTTACATTAGATTGATATTGTGTTAGGTATTGCAAGTAATCTAGAGGTGACTTAACAAATAGAGCAGGATGTGTTTAGGTTATGTGCAAATACTGCACCATTTTATACAAGGGACTTGAGCATCTCAGGTTTTGGCATCCATGGGATGAGGGGGATCCCAGAACCAATCCCTGAACCAAGGGATGACTGTAATGACTCCACTTAGATGCCAGGTCCTGTGCTGGGCCTGACTTGCCTTCAAGGGGGCCACCACCTGGGGGGAGGCAGAAAGGTCTACCACTTGGCTGAACTGCAGGGTAGAGCAGAGGTGACCTGCACAGTGAAGGCCTTGGGTCTCTCTGGGAAGTGGCATATGAACTGTGGCTGATTTGAGTGCCACTAAACCAAGCAGAGAGAGCAGTGTGAACAGAGGCCTGGAGCTAGGGAAGGACAGGGCAAGATCAGGGAGCCCTGAGTGCTGGAGGTCAGTGTCAGGAGGTAAGACTGAGGGCAGGTGCTGGCTCTTGAATTCCTCAACTGCTGACTCTCTTCCCAGGAATATGTTCCCTGCCAACCTGGTGGAAGCCACATTCAAACAGGTGAGCGGGTCTCCAGACAATGGAGGGGAAGGGGCAGGAGGAGCAGGCAAGTGAGGCCAGCCTGGACCCTGCAGAAAAGAGACAGGTTGGTCCAGCTAGCCTCCCTGTCTCGTGGAAGGCCATGTGGAGGAAGAGGGAGGGTTGGGGAGGACCTAGAACCTTACAGTCTCCCATGGTCACATGACCACACCCCTGTCCTTGTTTCAGTCATAATGAAGAAACATTACAGGGCGGGCATAAGCCTCTGTTCAGAGCCTGCTCAGCATAGATGTCCCACTGAGGCTCAGGCATTTGCCCTCTCATCATCCTCACTGTAAACCCACACTGAGGTGGAATTAGTCCATTTCCTGGATGAGGAAACTGAGGCTTAGAGGATTAGATAACCTGCTGAAGATTAGACCAGTAGTAAATGACAAGATAGTAGGTAAACCCAGGCCTGTCTGCCTTCTATACCAGTTTTCACTCTTTCTAAACAATAATCCCCCAAGAATAATAGTAATGTTCACTGTAGAAAACTAGAAAAATACTAAAATACATAAAGAAAAACATGAAAATCATGTCTGTTTCAGGATCTAGCAATAGTGGTAGCAGATGGTACATTTCTAATCTTTCTGCTTTGCATAAATTTATTTTTAAAAACCAAATTAGGATAGTCCATACTCATAGTGCACACAGTTTGTATCTTGCTTTTTTTGCTCCCATTATAGCATGAGCATGTTCCAGAACTGCTCAAAGTTTGTTGAAAGCACAACATTCGGTGGAGATGGTCATTTATTTACCCATTCCCTTGAGGACAGTCCTCTGGGTTGTTGTCAAAGCTTTGCCTTTTTAGGAACTGTAGTGAGCACCCGTGTGCCTCAGTGTTTGTCTGCACTTCTAATACCGTGCAGTTCTCTTCCCCCTTCTCACGTCAGCTATTTGGGTGACACAACCCAGCAAGTGTTTCTGGAACACCATCCCTGGGTGGGGCCTGTGTTGGGCTGGGGACACAAAGGAGGCGGCTGAGGGTTGGGAAGGAGGCTCCAAAGTGAGCATCCGTGAAAGCTAGAGACGTCACTAACATCTTGAGTCTTTACTATGAAGCGAGCCCAGCGTGCAGGGCCCCGAATGCGAGGCTAGGGAATTTGGATTTTACACCAATTGTGATAGAGCGTTATTGAAGGTAACAAAGAGACAGTTACTCTGTTTAGTACCTGTTGGGAATAACCTTTTTTCTTTTGGAAAACTCCCACTCATCCCTCAAGACCCAAATTAAGTGTTCCCTTCTCTGTGAAGCTGTCTGACTCTTCCAGGCAGAGTTACTACCTCCCCAAGGCTCTCAGTAGAAAATGTATGTGGTTCTTTTTTTTTTCCCTTGTAGCACTGAGGTTTGAACTCAGGGCCTCACATGCTTGCTAGGTAAGCACTCTACCACTTGAGCCACACATCCAGCCCTTTTTGCATTAGGTTCTTTTTTCGGATAGGGTTTTACTGTTTTGTCTGAACTGGTGGCCTTGGATCGTGATCTTGCTACCTATATACCTCCCAAGTTACTAGGATTCCAAGGGTGAATGACCAAAGCCTACCTTGGTTCATTTTTATATTCCTGGCACCCAGCACTCAGTGTTAACTTCGGGATGCTGTTGCTGCTGGTGGTGGTAAGCAGTAATGCTCACAATGGGCTATGAATCATTGAAAGCACTTTATATACAGTGTATCATTTGTGTATATTGTATCATTTAATCCTGTGAGGTATGAGGTATTATGAGGAAAATGAAGCAGAGAACTGAGGCCCTCTGTATTTCCTGAGTTTTTCTTCCTTCCCCCCAAAAGCCTTACCTTATTGAGAGTGTGATGTTGAAGAGTAAAGGAAGCCCCTTAGTTTAGGCTCCTGGGACCTGAGGAATGTGGGGGGAAACCTGGGAATGCCCTGGGGGCAAAGGAGGACCGGAGTAGCTCAGGCAGCTCAGCTCTTCCTGGCTGACCTTTATAGAGCAGGCCTGGGCAAGCAAGCTTTCTCAAAGAGCAGGCCATGTGTCCATCAGGTGGACAAAAGTGCTGGCTGACCTTCAGGTGGGTGGGTACTGGCTGGTTGGAAGGGTGTTGAGATGGATGGATGGTTAGAGAGGGAGCTAGGTACACAGAGAGGGCTGGGGAGTATGGAGAGACAAAAGAATCTCCATTTCTTTTGGGTTAAGAATTGACAATCATCTTTGCCACCTACCTCACAAGGTACTGTCAATTGACTAGGATAGACATTGACACAAACATGATTTTGAGATGTTTTGGGGTTGATATTCATAACAGCAATGGGTCATGACTCCTTTCTGGTTGGGGTGTTGCCCAATAGTACCGCACCAAGACCACTCCAGTTGTCAAGTCCCCCAGAGTGGTCCCAGAAGAGGCCCCTCCTCGACGAATCTTCGTCTATGGGGTCCAGGAAGAGAATGGCTCTCGTGTGCAGAACTTTGCCCTGGACCTGACCCCACCACCTGAGGTCGTTTACAAGTCGGAACCTGGCACCAGCGATGGCATGAATGTGCTGGGCATCGTCATCTTCTCTGCCACCATGGGTAGGTGTTGCCCCCGCCCCCGGCAGTGCCCTGGAGCCTTCCTCTCCTATCCGATAGAGTGGCGCAAGCTCCCATCCCTTTCTGAGAGCTGATCCCATTCCCATTCTGGGAGCTGATTTGCTCCCTGAGAGACATTGGTCCTCTCTCTTCTTTTGTGTCCTAGCTCCCTCCCAGTGCCCTGTCCCTGGACCTTTTATTGAGGTCCTGAGATAACCCGCTGAGGGGTTGTCACTGTTTATTAAAGCCTTCCCCCATTCCCCACCCACACAGCTTCTCCCTGGCCACCTCTCTCTTCAGAGCTGTGCCATTTCTTGGAGCCCACAGTGGCTCCCTGATCACACCCTTCCCTTTGCTATTCTTCTCAGTGTCCCCAAAGCCCCAACCACAGCTGATTTACCATAAAGCTATTAAGGACAAATCTCAGGGTTATTTGTACAGCACCTTCTGAGGCCTACATCTTTTTCCTTTTTAATTCTTGTTCTTTTTTCTTTCTCTCTCTCTTTTTTTTTTTGGCAGCTCTGGGGTTTTGAACTCAGGGCCTTATACTTGCTAGGCAGGTGCTCTACCACTTGAGCCACAAGTCCAGCTTAATTCTTGTTCTTAAAGAGATCCCTAAATCATATAGCTTCAGACTCCACAAAACCTAAAGATGTGCTCTGCCTGCAGTGCCCTCCCCAAACCTTTTTTTCTTTTTAGGGACAACTACTAACCCACCAGCACTGGCCAGCACCCTGGGGTGGTTGCCTCCTGCTTTCCCAACTTCCCCACTATCAAGCCTCATCATCTTTCTGGCTGCTCATGCAGGACAGCCTGCTCGCTTTCCACCTGGCCTCTGTCACAGCCCTGCATCCAACCCCCGACAGGCCCACCTCCCAGGTTTCTCCCCTGCTGCCACCAACACCCTGGTTACTGCAAACGCTACCTAAAGAATCCTCTGCACCATGCTCTGTCCACTGCAGAGCTCAGTGACCTGGCCAGGCTGCCTCCTGTCTCTTGCAGTCCTGCCACCCCAGCCTCTCCAAGGGCCTCCTTCTCCCCTCAGCAGCTGCTCTGGCCCCTTCCTCCCTGTCTCCATTCTTATCCTCCAGGGCCCCCCACAAACATCAGGAAGGTAATCCCACCCCAAGCCCATGTCAGGTGCCCCTACGCTCACATTGTCTACTCCTTGATAAGCACAAGACCCTGTCGCATTAACCTCCGTTGGTCCAGCATATAGTGTCTCCACAGCAGCCGGGTCAGCTCTGCTTGTTCCCCTTTGGCCTCAAGCCCAAAGTGACTGACCAGAGTAGGGCTCAGTGAACCCTGCTGGAGAGATGGGTGGCTGGTGGGTAAATGGATGGATGATGATGGATAATAGATGTGATTACCTAGGCCAAAATGCCAGGCCTAAAGAGAGGCCGGGACTGGGGTGTGCACCTCTGATAGCCAGCCCTTACCTGGACATCCTCCCACCCCACCCTCAGCTTCTCTGAAGGATGGGAACAGAAAGAGGACATTTATTGGTCAAGCAAAAGAACCTCTTGAGACTACGTGCACTCAGGTGTGACTCTTTGTGTTCGTAAGTATGAACCACATTAGCGTGCACCATACCTGTGAATGCCTGTCTCCGTCTGTGCCCACACTTGCTGGTGCCCGGGTCCATGGTACCCATATCACTGTGTGACACTGCTCTGAACGGAGCTTTCTTAGGTTCCTCATCCCAAGTGTTGGGATGTGACAGGTCTCCTTGTCCTTGCCAAGTCTGGGGCACACTAGCTCCCATCCAGCCGCAACCCTTGGACACCCCCAGAAATACTGAAGTGGAGGCTGGCAAATAACCTGAGGAGGGATGGAGCCCTCAGGGAACACCTGGGTCTGCATCAGCCAGGCTTTAAAGGTTAGACAGACAGGGCCAACTCAGTGTCATCTCCAACTCTGGCCCCTCCCACCCAGGGAGGGGCCCCCCTTCACTCCATCACCACAGAGACTGTAGGAACAGAGCCCTTCCCTGGAGTCTCACAGGCCAGGGTTGGAAGCTCCATACTGTCACTCTCTGCCTGATCTAGCTACTGAACCCCCTGAGCACTGGGGCATGACCTTCAGGAGGGTGGCCTCAAAGTGTACTCTGTGGCCCACGTTGGCTTCACCATGAGGACAGCAGTCACACAGCTGTCCTTTCAAGACGCCATGGTGTTGCTTCCTCTCCCGGAGCTCACCCATAGAGCAGTTCACATATGTGCACCTTCCACGTGTCACCCCAGAGCTGAAGGAAAACCCAGAATCAGGGATGGCTTTTTGTCATCCTCCACACAATAGTTTTTGTTGGGCGTCCACCATAGGCCAGCTAAGGAGCTGTAGTTCTTGGGCTTACGGAAGAAGGATGGCAGACAAAGGGGAGAAAATAGTTGCAGGTTGTAACAAGCCAAGGGAAGGACTTGGGGATGAGGAAGGTAAGAAATGGGGAGTGTGGAGGGGCTTCCAGGTCTCTTGGGCCAGTGTTCCAGGCATTGGAAACTGCGGGGACAAGGACCCTGAGGCACTGAAGAGCTTGACATATTCTAGAACTCTGAAGAGGGGCCCATGGGCTGGGACATGGGAAGCAAGAGAAGAGAACAGAGAAGGCCGGAGCTGTGGGGAGCTCTGGGAACTTGGTTATAGTCCAAGGTCATAGGAAGCAGGGAAAGCACACCGTAAGATGGGACAGTGTGTGTCTGGCGGGGCACATACATGTCAACAGGAGTAGTTTTACCTGCTGCTGTGTGGAGAACAGGTTAGAGAGGTGGGAGAGATGAGACCCTGAAGGACCCAGAGGTGGAGGAGGCTGCGAAGGAGAGAAAGGAGTGGAGGGCACATGCCAGCACATCAAAGGCTGCTGGGGTATCAGCCAGGGCCAGACCACATATGTGTGTGAGTCTGTCCCTGCTTTGCTATGGCAAGCCTGTACCCTGTCCTGCTGGGCCTACAGGTGTGCCCTTGTGTCTTGGCTGTGTGTCTCTACAGGCATCATGCTGGGCCGCATGGGTGACAATGGGGCCCCCCTGGTCAGCTTCTGCCAGTGCCTCAATGAGTCTGTCATGAAGATCGTGGCGGTGGCTGTGTGGTAAGTCTCCTCCAAAGAGGGTTCTCCTACTCCATCCACTCCCCAGTCCTGGGTGGGTGAAGGGACACTGTGGTCCAGTCTGCTCTGTCCTCTGCTTGCTGAGAACAGCAGAGAGCTATATAGAGGGCTCCGCGGGGCCTGGAGCTTCCAAGGCTACCTGTGTTTTGCCTGGATCTCCCAGCCCTGACCTGGCCTAGTTCCAGCTCTGGGCCTTACTCCTGGCCCTGTGTGGAGGACAGCTAAGTGATCAGCCTAGCTGTCATGCCCAAGCCATGGAGCCTCCTCAGCTCAGCTCTCAGGCAAAGGATGCACTGGAAGTGAGAACCAGCTGCCATTCCTGATTCAGAATCAGAGGTTAGGAATGGTCTAGGCAGGGAAGCATGTAGAGGCCTGCCTGAAGTCACCCAAGGAGCTGTGGTGCTGCTGGGACTAACATGGGGGCCTTCTGAGGGCAGGGACACCCCTCAGAGGCACAGAGGACAAAGGCAGAGGGGTGTGAGGGTTGCGGTGGTTGAGGGTAAGGGTATTAGTGATGCCATGTGCCTGGTCCCAGGCTGGGGACCTCGGTTACACAGTCTCATTCGGTCCTCATGATTGCCTTGGGAGACTCAGAGGTCAGGCTGTGTGATAATGCAGTGACAAGGCCAGGATGGGAGCTTGCCTGCCTGGCACCGAGCTGGGGCTGCCCTACCACCTGCAGGTACTTCCCTTTTGGCATTGTGTTCCTCATCGCTGGCAAGATCCTGGAGATGGATGACCCCAAGGCTGTTGGAAAGAAGCTGGGCTTCTATGCCATCACTGTGGTGTGTGGGCTGATGGTCCACGGCCTCTTCATCCTGCCCCTGCTCTACTTCTTCATTACCAAGAAGAACCCCATTGTCTTCATCCGCGGCATCCTCCAAGCCCTGCTTATTGCACTGGCCACCTCATCCAGGTAGCCCTGGGGTGGGGCAGGGGAATGCAGCACTGTCCATCTGTCCAGGCCTCATTTGTCCACAGCCGTAGAACCACAGAACCTGGTCCACTTCACAAACCCAGGGATGGTGGCAATACAGTGGTAACGAGACCTAGTTTAGGATTTAATGCTTGAGGCCCCTCTCTGGCAACAATCCCTAAAGTTCACTCGCCGCAAATGGAGTGAACTTCTTTGCCCCCTGGGGAAGAGAGCTGTAGTCTGATGAAGATTGCTGCTGCTTTCCTGGCCCCAAACTGCTGTAAGGGGCTCTGCCTGTTCACTGTTGCTGGGATGTCCTGGCTTGGGGCCGTTTCATCCTGGGCAGTGGTTCTGTAGTGCACTTGGCTGTGTAATGGTGGGGAGTCACTTAGCCTCCCTGAGCCTCAGTGGCCCCATACTCAGACAGGGATAATTTTAGCCTCTGCCTCACAAGGCTGCTGTAGAGGCTGGGATAATCTGCTCAAGATGAGGAAGACAGTGGGGTCAGATGAACCCATGCCTGGCCTTGAGGACTCCACACTACAGCTGGGTGCAGAGAACCTCAGGGTGGTGCAAGGCACGCTGCTGGTCAGTGGGAAGGAAGGCAGTGGTCAGCTACTGAGCATTTGGCCCTGTGAGGAAAGTGTGTTCTCTCCACAGCAATTGTCTTAGCTCCATGTGGAGGAAGTTGCAGGGACCCAAGCCCATCTTTTGGGCCCACAGGTCTTTCTTTTCCTCCAACCCTCACTTCTCTTTCCTGGGCCTCAGCATCCCAGTCTGTGAAATGCCCACAGGTCTCACCCCTGCAGCAGACACAACTTCCAGGACTCAGTGCCAAGCCCTGGTCTAAACACTGAGTGGCTTGATCCTGCAATAGCTCTGTAGCCTGGGTACTGGGCAGGACAAAGAGTCCAAGGCCTCCAGGTGAAGGGACTTGCCAGACCCTTTCTGGGAGGCTGGACTCTAGACTCAGGCAATCTGGCACAGAGCCCCTGCAGCTCTCCAATTCAGATATTCTTGGCCCAGCAGTGTGGCATGTGTCAGCCCTCATCTTCTAACTCAGGAAGGATCAAGTGAGAGGACAACAGAGCACTGGTGCACAGTGGGTGCTCTGCCTGTGGTCACTTCTCCAAGCCCAAGCAGACCCCATGTGTGCTCCAGCAAACTCCTATTCTATTTTGCTACAAGCTGCCCAGGGTGGGTGGCTTCCCATCAGAGGCCCTGACCCTGGGGGAGAGTGGTGGACAGACACTGGCCCCTCTGCCCATAGCTCAGCCACACTGCCCATCACCTTCAAGTGCCTTCTGGAGAACAATCACATCGACCGGCGTATTGCCCGCTTTGTGCTACCCGTGGGCGCCACCATCAATATGGATGGCACCGCACTCTATGAGGCTGTGGCCGCCATCTTCATTGCCCAGGTCAACAACTATGAGTTGGACTTTGGCCAGATCATCACCATCAGGTATGTCCTGACACCCATACTCTGAAAGAGTCTCTGAGGCCAGTGAGGGCAAGTAGCTCATGCCAGGCCACACAGCAAGTTCACTAGGGCTGGGACATGAGCCTGACCTCCAGGACTTGTGGATAGGAAGAGCCTGAGCTACACAGTTGGGCAGGATGGGAGATATAGGTGAGTACCAAGCAAGCAGAGGCCAGGGGCAAGGCTGAGACTGATGTGGCTGGAACTGAGGGCAGGGTGCTGGGGACAGGGGCAGAGGCCAAGGGGAGGCCTAATAGGCCTGACCCTGTAGTCCAAGCCCAGAGTGAGGCTGGGGTGCAGCCATGCTGGTTGACCAGCAGAATCTCTGGGTAGCTCTGGTAGCTACAGAAGCACAGTTCTAGACATGGGTTTCCCAGTTTCCTCAGGTTCTCCTGAGGCCGGGGATGGAGGTCATGTGAACCCAGAACTGTGAATAGGGACATGCTCCCCTGAGAACTCCCAGATGTAGCATTCCTAGCAACCTTCAGCCTGGTACAGTTGTCCCAGAGGCCTTGGCATTCTAGCCTCCTCCTTGCAGCCAGGGCCTTGGAATGAACCCTGCCCCTCCTGCTCCCTCTGCTCCTCTCCCCACTCCCCCTGCAGCATCACAGCCACTGCAGCCAGCATTGGAGCAGCTGGCATCCCCCAGGCTGGACTTGTCACCATGGTCATTGTGCTCACGTCTGTGGGACTGCCCACTGATGATATCAACCTCATCATTGCCGTGGACTGGGCTCTGTGAGTGCACTTGATCCCCACCCCAGCCCCACCTCTTGGCAAGGGCATCCGGCACAGTGGGAGTGTCTCACTCATCTACACAGGCCCAGCTGCATAATTTGGGGACCTAGAGTACAAAAATGAAAACAGGAGTCCCTTTGTTCAAAAGTTACAAAAAAGTTTAAGACTGCAACTGCAGAGCATTAAAACCAAGCCCAGCTGTCTAAGCACGGGACCTGTGCAGCACACAGTGTGCACCCATGAAGCCGGCCCTGTGTCACCTGCAATGCCAGCAAGGGGTGGCCTGAGCAGTGGCCTCCAGTCTTTGGGTAGAGCTTGGCCCTCTACCAACTCCCATTAAGATACCTGCCACTCACTGCTCACTCACTGCCCACTCACTGCCCACTCACTGCCCACCTTGCTTCACCAGCGACCGATTCCGCACCATGATTAACGTGCTGGGTGATGCACTGGCGGCGGGCATCATGGCCCACATCTGCCGAAAGGACTTTGCCCGGGACACCGGTGCTGAGGTGAGACCAGTGCCCCACCCCTCAGGACACCATAGATGGAGATAGGTAGGGTAGACAAGGTACCAGATCTTCCACCCAGGCTGGGGAGCCTTCAGCCACTCCCTCCACATCTCCAGGCCGGCCTGGTCTCCTTGTTTGTGGGCGGTGTGACTAACTCCTCTCACAGCTATTGATTGAATACCTGCCAGGGCCAACACTGATCTGGAAGGAAGTGGTGGGAACGCAATGTAACAGCCTGTGCCCTGGGGAAGTCACACCCCCCTGTAGCACAGTGCTGGCCTATTAAGCAACTCAGATGTTTGCAGGACTGACTGATCTTCAGATTCCCTCCCTAGTCGTGTGTAGCAGGCTGCGTCCACCTCGTGGGGAGGAAACTGAGTCTCAGGCAGGGTTGCCACCAATTCCCTTGTTGGACCCTGAGGGTTAGGTCTCTCTGCTAACAAAGACAGCCTTAGCAGGACAGGAGGCAGAACAGCTTGGGAACTGGGGTCCACAGAGACGTGTGACCTGCTGAAGCCACTCAGCATGTCTGTAGGGAAATCCCTCCTGTGGTCTCAGCCCTGAGCCTGCTCTGCTCTACCCACCCTCAGACCCTTCTGCTGCTACCAAGGCCTGTTTCCCCCTCCAGAAACTGCCACCCTGTGAGACCAAGCCCGTGAGCCTCCAGGAGATTGTGGCAACCCAGCAGAATGGCTGTGTTAAGAGCGTGGCTGAGGCCTCGGAGCTGACCCTCGGCCCTGCCTGCCCCCACCACATCCCAGTACAGGTGGAGCAGGATGAGGAGCCGGCTACTGCCAGTCTGGATCACTGCACCATAGAGATCAGTGAGCTCGAGACCAATGTCTGAGCCTGCAGGCCAGGCCAGGCCTCCATGGTCAGGGACCAGGAGTCGGATCTGAACTAACAACTCATCTGAGCAGCCAGCAGAGGCCAGGTTCACACACTCTTCCCACTCTGAGAAGTTGAAATTAACCATTGGTGGAAAATGGGGTCTCAGAGAAGGGAAGACCATGGCAGGAAGCTCTCCAGAGTTCCATGGGTTGGCACAGCCCAATCCCTAACTGTGACAGTTTCTAAGGGGTGAGTCTTCAAGGGTACCAGGCAGGGATCATCTTCCCCACTTTATGGATGACAAGTTTGTGGTTAAAAACTAAAAACACTTGCCCAAGGTGTTGTGCAAGCAATGCCAGGGCAAGGATGCTAACTCAAGTCTCCTGGAGGACAGAATGCCTGCAGGGCCAGGTTCAGAGAGAGGCTCTGCTCCTCTCAGGATCCCCACAGCCAACACTGCTTCCAAGTTATGAGGATGTGATAACAATGTCCTGGTTTCTGTCCCAGCTGTGTCCAGGCCCGGGCCAGCCTCCAACCCCACCCCAAAGCATGTGGCCTCAACCAAACAGCTATTCTCAAGAGCAGGCCCATCCCACAGCCCAGACCCACTGCCTTCCACGTGCCCCAGCCGGCCCATCCCTGCCCACCAGCTACTTTGCAAAACTTACCTAATGTGAGGCAGGCATGTCTACTAGGGCTGGAAGGCCCCATGGACATATCCAGGCCACCTTCCCACAGGACAGGTGAGCAGGCCAGGCCCCAGGGTGGGAGGCTGAACCTTGGGTGATCTGACCATGCTATAATTGGTATCCTAGGGTCATTATGCCCCAAAGGTCTATGTGACAAAATTGAGTCAGCATTCCTATTCCTTTCTGTGTCTGCAAATTCGGTACTAACTAAATAAAGGTCTTTTGTTTTTCAAGTCTTGTGGATGTAGAGACCATACTCTGGACAGCACTTTTTACAGGACTAATACAGGCTGTCATAGTATAGATGAGCCTATCCTAGTGGCCACAGGGAGGACAGGCCTGTCTGAGCTGTCACATGCAGAAGACAGAGTGCAAACTGGCCTGCCCAAGTGCCTATCTCAACAGGCCTCTGTGGCTGGAACTTGTCCAGGGGCCACAGTGTGGACAGACCTCCCTGCCCCTGGCCTGGGCTCAGCTCTGCAGGCAAAGCCCTGAGATCAAGCCCTACAGAAGGAACAAATTTCATCCACACTTGCTATCTTTGGTGAGTGCTCTCCCTTAGAAAGGCGCTATGCCCAAGGACATTCTCCTCTTCCCAGGGTGCCTCCAGGAGGCCCGCAGGGCAACAGAAGGGCCCTGGATTCCCAGTGTGTTCTAGATGCGCCTTGGGGAGGAATCTTATACCAGGATGCCCATGAGGACACCAAGACCCAAGGAAGAGCCAGTCCTCCCCAAAGTCATTCAGAGAGTCAGGAGGGTACCTAGCCCCATCCCAACCCCCATCCTGAACTACACCCATCCTCTCCCAGCATCACAGTCTGAGGGGTACAGGTAGGAACTTTACCCCAGGACATATTCTCCCACTGTAGGCTGGGAGCTAGAAGGCCACACAAGTCATACGGCCTTTCTGAGGCCTAACCATCAAGGAGAAGGCAGGTGTTGAGCTATCAGTCACTCCCACCTCCACATGGATAAGGTCATTTGCCCCTTCCTTAGGTCATATCTCTACGATCCTTTGAGCAATCCAGTCTGTCCCACCTCAAGGCAGGAGCCTGCTCATTAGCGGACTTGATAGAAGTATACTTACACACCTCCAACTGCTTCCTGGGCATCTCAACCCACTGTGGGCAGAGGAAAAGCCCACCCATGGGGCTTTTCCTCACTCAGAGCTGGGTGCCACCTTCCGGCCGCTTCCTACCACAGACCCAACTCCATCCCCAAGTCAACTCTGCTCCAGCCCCCAGGTTTGCCTCTTGCCCCTTTTCACCTCTACAAACAGACCCCATCAGTAACAGCCTCTCGGTGCAAAGACAGTCCTCCAGGTGAGCCCTGAGCAGCCCAAAGGCTGGCAGGTTCTCCACTTGGATGCTCAGCTTCTGGGAATGTAGAGAGAGCTTACAGGCCCGATGAGTATGGTGGTCCCAGCCCTACCTGATGATTCCCACCCAACTGAGGGGCAATACACAGCAACTGCCACTAAGCCCCATCTCCCCAAACCTCTGCCTGTGTGATTCCTCTGGAGCCCCGATTGCTGCTGGGCTGGCCAGGGTACTATGGGGCTTGTATTCTGCCCACCGTGAGCAAACGCCGGCCCAGCACCTGGCTGGAAGCACACACAGACACTGCCATGGCTGCGATAACAGGGATCATGCTTTTATATTAGTTTTTCTGTAACAAGAAAAATCAGCTTTGAGATTTTTATCATTTTTTTCTAAAAAAAATAATAATAATAAACAAATAAGACTAAAGGCACCCAGAACTTCACTGCAGACCCAGAGAGTAAGGTGTCTCATAGGTACAGCCTGGCTCCTCCCCGTCCCAGGGCCCCCACTTCACTCCTGCCCAAGGTCTCCAACAGCACCAGGAAGCCTTTCTGCCACTTTTGTGGACTTGTCCATCAGAAAGCACCTGTGGCCTGCCAGAGCATGGCAGAGAGATGCTCTCAGACAGGTGACCGCCCCAGCACCTGAGGCCGGCGCAGAAGTCCAGAAGGTTTCTGTCCTCAAAGGGAGAGAAAGGAACAAAAGCCAGCTTTTGTAAGTGCCAGAGGGCGGGAAGCACCTGGCCACAGAGCAGGGAGATAACTCTTCTCCAGGGTATGGACAGACAGACAGACGGAGTATGAGGCAGATGGTAAGTTATTCTGTCCAGTTCTGGCTGGGAGCAAGAGCTGTTGTTGGCATAGGCCATGGGGGTTTGTGACTGTGACTGTGTGTGTGTGTGTGTGTGTGTGTGTGTGTGTGTGTGACTGTGTGTGTGTGTGTGACTGTGACTGTGTGACTGTGTGTGTGTGTGTGTGTGTGTG